CTTTGGGAATCTGCAGCTTGTCCTACCTCGCCTTGTCCTGTGGAACGAACAGCGAAGGGTCCATTGCCGGTGTGGGGTCTTTGGAGGTCACTGCCAATGCGGGTGTAGTGGAGGTGCTTGCGACTTTTCCTTTTCCTTTTGCCTGCTGCCGTTTAGCCTCTCGCCCTTCCAGACCCGTAGCTGCCACCGCCCGCCATTGGAGGAAGAAGAAGATGATGAAAGGAGGAGGAAGAAGATGATGAAAGGAGGAAGAAGAGGAAGAAAAAGAAAGAAGGTAGAAGGTAGAAGACGATGATGAAAGGAGGAGGAGGAGAGAAGGACAAGACGAAAGGAGGAGGAGGAGGAGGAGGAGGAGGAGAGAAGAAGAAGAAGACAAGAGGAGGAGGAGGAGGAGGAGGAGGAGAGGACTAGACGAAAGGAGGAGGAGGAGGAGAGAAGAAAAAGAAGACGAGAGGAGGAGGAAAGAAGAAGAAGAAGAAGACGAGGCAGTTCTCAGTGCACTATTCCGACACTTGTGAAAGAAAACCGATGAAATTGGGACGAGGAGGAGGAGGAGGAGGAGAAAGGAGGAGGAGAAAGGAGGAAGAGGAGGAGGAGAAGGAGAGAAGAAGATGAGAGAAGGAGGAGAGAAGACGAGAGGAGGATGAGGAGGAGAGAATTAGACGAAAGGAGGAGGAGGAGGAGTAGGAGGCGGAGGAGGAGGAGGAGGAGGAGGAGGAGGTAGTGTGTGGGGCTGACAGGAAAAAAAAAAAAAAGAGGACGATGGAGGATGAGGAGGAGGAGAGAAGGAGAACACGAAAGTGGAGGAGGAGAGAAGAAGAAGAAGACGAGAGGAGGAGGAGGGGAAAGGAGGAGGAGAGAAGGAAAAGAAGACAAGAGGAGGAGGAGTAGGAGGGGAGAAGAAAAAGAAGACGAGAGGAGGAGGAGGAGGTGGAGAGAATAAAAAGAAGATGAGAGGAGGAGGAGGAGAAAAAGAGAAGAAAAAGAAGACGAGGAGGAGGAACTGCCAGTTTTGTATGGCGATGACCAAAAAAAAAAAAAAAAGA